CATCTGTCTGAAACGGTATAGGGTTTCCTGCCTAGACAGGGGGTTGAACTAGAAGACCTCCAAGGTCCCTTCCAACTCTGCTATTGTATTGTATTGTAAACTGCATTAACCCTGCTAAACCAGAATTCATTTGACTTGAGAAAAAAAGATTACTGCAATTCCCGAAGGCAAAAAATAGGAGTTGTGAAATGATTTTGATGGTTTCCGTAGTTATATGAACAAAAGCATTATTTTCTTACAAAATCAATCAGGTTCCTTTAATATATACCAAGATATTAGCCATTTATAAGAAAAAAAAATCAGAAATTGGCAATTGTAGGCTGCATAACCATCTGTTCAACATTTGCTTTCTAAAAGTTCCCAACATTACATACTTTTTTCTTCATCAAGCAAGCTGTTCCTTTTTTATACATTTTGTTGTGTTAAAAGCAGGAAATGTCAATTATTTTTTTTTGCACTTAAAACTGAATTTGGAAGTCCTGTGATTTCAAAGAATGTATATCTTTACTATTTTAGCAGATTAGACTGCATTAAATGACATATATTATTTTGCTGAAAATGCAAGGAACTAACTTTAATCATTATTATACTTTATGCCTATATATATAATTAAATTACATCATAGAAATCTTATTAATTTGATCATTTGTCTTCCAGAATTTGTTTTACTGTCTGATCATAAGGAGAGGAGATATATAGCTGGAATGATCATTGTGATCCTTAAATAAAAGTATTGTTTTGAAAAAAAAAGTGTGTTATTTATACTTACTGCATTTTAGGTGATAAGAATAGACCAAAAAGTGCCAACTGATTCATTGTTTTGTTAAAGAGCTGTCTCATAATTTTAAGCATGTACTATAATAGGCTCAGTTTAATAGTCTGAAAGATAAGCATAGCCCTTTCTGGAGCTTAGAGGATATCTGTTTAGGTGTCACTCTGACTTTTTCCTTCAGAATGAGTTTATTACTATAACTAGCCTGGTGTTTTCTTTTCTTCTTAAGTCTGGTTGTTAACGTTCTTAGCTTTCTGCCAACTTACTGTTATCAGCATGTCAGAATAAAGCATAAGAATACTTAATTGCAGCAGTATTTATGATAAATCATTCATACTTTTTGTTGCCATTTGCTTTCATTTTAAATATTTATTCTTTAGATCATATGCCTACTTTGGTTAATTTCCCCAGTAGAGACTTGGAATGTTTTCTAGAGCCATCCAACCATTGTTACTGTCAAAGTGATAGTAACAGGGTCAGACTTTATATCATGTCAACTGGCTGAATGATTTTCTGAAGGTTCTAGAAGTTACAAGTGGAGAAAAGCTTCTCATTTCAAGAAGCCTTAAAACACAATTATAATACTTTTATGTACCTTGTAAATTTAAGAATAGAATAGGAATAGGAATAGAATAGAATGGAATGGAATAGAATTCTTTATTGGTCAAGTGTGATTGGACACACAAGGAATTTGTCTTTGGTGCATATGCTCTCAGTGCAGATAAAGAAAAAATAAATATATTCATCAAGAATAATAAGATACAACACTTAGTGATAGTCATAGGATACTAATAAGCAATCAAATCATACTAGGAAACAATAAAATCAATATAAATTGTAAAAATACAAGCAATATGGTTATAGTCATAACTGGGAAGAGATAGGTACTATGAAGGATGAGAAGAAGAATAGTAATACAGTCTTAGTAGATAATTTGACAGTGTTGTGGGAATTAATTGTTTAGCAGAGTGATGGCATTCGGGGGGAAAAACTGTCCTTGTGTCTTGTTCTGGTGTGATACAGTCAGCTCAGTGGTGGGTTGCAGGCAGTACGCCCCGGTATGGGTGTACTGGAGCCTGCCCAGAGCACCGGGTACCGTTCCGGTGCGGTGCTCTGGAGGGCCCACCCACCCAAGCTCCTTACCTGTGCTGTAAGCCTTCGGTGCTTGCGCACATGCGCATGGTGTGTTCAGCGCCTGTGTGACGCTCCGCCGAGCAGCTGGAGCATCGCAGAGGCGTTGTTGGCAGGTATGACGCATGCATGTGCCGCACGTGAGCACGCATGTGTACATGCGCGCTGTGACCATCTATGTGGGCGACGCTGGACCTGTTCCAACCGTACCGTTTGGAATGGGATCCATAACCCACCACTGAGTCAGCTTTACCCATGCTATTGCTCTCAATTGCATGACATCCTCTTTGGGAAGAATTGCATCCGCATATAGTAGATACTTAACAAATTCTTAATCTGAAAGTGCTACAAATAATCAGATTTTTTTCATGAACTAAAATGTTGAAAGCATGTGCCAAAGGAAGGCCATCTGATTCACCTCCTTGTAAAGGTTGAAAATGAGTCAGTCAAAGGTGTCCTCTTTTTTTCCTGGAAGCCTTCAGAAGTTCTTATTTCTTTTAAATAATAGCATCAATTGTCATTCAGATCAGAAACTTATTCTTTTGCATTGCATATCTAGAAAGTACTCAGTACCTCATAATTTTTACTATTCTTTGTATATTTTTTACTATATTCCTTATATTTTGTCTTATTTATATTTCTTCTAATAGTGCATTTGACTTATCACTAATCTTCAGCTAAAAACCAAAATATATTAGGTTCAGGCATATCCATTTGTGGGTATCAGAATAGTGGGCCTTGCCCAGTCATGATTGCCATCTTGATTTTTATGACTCTCCCAGGAGATGTTATTGCTTATGTTCCCCTTTCTAGCCCTAATTTTAGATATGTTAGTAATCTTAACCACCATTAATGATGATCAAGTGTTAGGTTTCTGGCATGTTGATGTTGTATAAACATTTGTATTCACTCCTCATGATTAATACATGAGCATACCTACATATTGCTTTGGTTCTCAATTATATATCTGATTCATGGCAACAACTATAGTACCAAATAAACCTATATAATATGCCTAACTGCTTTATGTTAGCCAACGTGTAGAGTGAAATATTTTTTAGGCTCCTCTTTCCTAAACAATTCTATAGATCCTGCACAGAAACAAAATGGCAAATGTTCCCACTCATAAACAATTATAATGCAAAGTTAGATTTGGGATACGTTGGAGAAAGAAGCTAGTGAAGTAAAAAACAAAACAAAACCAAGGGAAGCATCTCTTCCATAGATACGAAATTACATTTCCCTGATTGGAGACTAAAGTGTATAAGAATTCTGAACAATGCTTAGATCCAGAAGCAGATTGGCAATGAGTTCAACTCATGGAGCAGAGGAGTAACATCTGCTTTTCTGGAGGCATCTATAATTGCCATGCTGCTGCATTCTATACCAGCTGAAGAGAGCAAGTTTTGTGTAGTGGTTAAGCCATCAGGCTATAAACATGAAGACTTTGAGTTCTAGTTTTGTCTTAGGCACAATGCCAGGTGGGTGTTCTTGGGCCAATTACTGTCTCAGCCCTAGGAAGAACAAAACACTCCTAAAATCATACCAAGAAAACTTTGGGTACTTGTTTGGGCATTTGCCAGGAGTCAAANAAATAAATAAATAAATAAATAAATAAATAAATAAATAAATAAATAAATAAATAAATAAATAAATAAATAAAAAGATCGGGTAAAGGAGGCACATAAAGGCTTCAGTAACAACAGCTCTTTATTGCAAGTTGAGTAAACATCTGGCTGAAATTGGGTCGGACAGCATCCCCTTTTAAAGGGATCTGTCAGACCTCTTGACAAATGGGAATCGCCCTCTGTTCCCGGAGGAACAGAAGACCTAGGTGGAAACCTCTATCTGTGTGGGGGGAGATATCTAAAAACCCTCCCCTCTAGGATAGATGAACCCAATTGGTGACATAGTCATGCAGGTAGGCGGGTTTTTGCGTAGCTCTGCCTGACCTGCACAGTTCAGTGTGAACGGTTTCTTTGGACAAGTCGGACGGATTTGTTTGCTCTGTGGTTCTGCCTGATGGAAGCTCCTGGAACTTTCCACAGGCCGCAGCTGGAGCTTCTGGAGTTGACTCACTTGGAGCTCGCTACAGGCCTGCATCGAAGTCAGATAAGTCTTCTGAGATTCTCGGGCTTGAGTTTGACGTGGAGGAGTTGTTGTTTGGTTTCGTGTGGTTTTGATTGTCTCGTGCAGGAGTTACTGTTGGTTTCCTAAGTTTGGAATTGGAAATCCGGCTACGGAGTTGGTCAATGTGCCTTCTCCAATATCTAGCGTCCTCGAGTTCAACTGTATACGATCGAGGACCGGTAATTCCGATCACTGTGACAGGAATCCACAATGTTCCCCCTTTGTAGTTGTGTGCGTATACCGAATCCCCTATGGAGAAGGATCGACCTTGCTTGTGGAATCGGGGGGTGGTGTGGTGGAATAATTTGAATGTAGCCAGTCTAGAGACTTTAGGTGGCGGCCCATGAGGAGCTCAGAGGGGCTTCTCCCAGTGGTGGCACTGGGTGTGATGTGTTGGATTAATAGGTAGTGATCGATTCATGTTTGCCAATTGCCGGGGTCCATCCTAGTGAGGGCCTCTTTTGCAGATCTCACCATTCTCTCTGCCTGACCATTGGAGGCCAGATAGAATGGCGTGTCCAGGGCATGCCTGATTCCCAGAGACGCTAGGAAGGTCTTGAATGGCACAGCCGTGAATTGGGGGCCGTTGTCAGAGACCAAGACATCAGGAAACCCGTGCATGGAGAAAAGTCTCTGCAGAACTTTGATTACTGCTTCTGCTGTGGTTGATGTCATTAGGGCTACATCTGTTCTGATCCCCTCCTCCGTCCAGTAACAAATGCCGAGGCAAGCTTAACTGGAATTCTACAGCACTTTATTAGCAGGAAACATAAATCTCGGTGGCTGAAAGCCCAAGCATAACAAACAGATAAGAGCTTTGGCAGCAACTCAGACTTCGACAGAGACAGATAACAGCTTCTCCAGCGTTAAGAATGAAGTTGAATCGTGCACGGTGCCTGCCTGGAGGACTGGGTACCGTTCTGGTACGGTGCTCTGGAGGGCCCACCTGCTCGCCTGAGCTCCTTACCTGTCTTTCAACTCTTCAGCACTTTCACGCATGTGCACGGCGCGTACAGCACCTGTGTGACGCTCTGGCGAGCAACTGGAGCATCGCAGAGGCTGCTGAGGTATCACTGGAGGGTAAGATGCATGTGTGTGCTGCCTGTGTATGCGCGTGTGCTGTGCGCATTCATGTGGAGGACGCCGGAACCCACCACTGGGGGAAATACTAGAAAAAATAACCCAGCAGTGAGCTTGTGAGCACTTAGAAATGAGTGGGGTTCTTACCAGAAATCAGCCTGGATTAGCCCCAAAACAGATCATGCCAGACAAACCTAATTGCTTTCTTGGACAATTAACCGACCAAGGGGAGACTGTGGATGTAATGTAAGCCATTTGATAAAGTATATTGTGGCCTCCTTTTTTTTGATAAACTGGAACAAAGTGAGTTGAATGGTCCCACTACCAGATGGATTCACAGTTGGCTGAATTAATGTATCTGACAAGTGATCCTTAATGGGTCTCTGCCCACATGGAGGGAAATATGCTGCGGGGGCACCTTAAGGCTCTGCCCTGCATCCAGTAATGTTCAACATCATAAATGATTTGAAGGAGGGAATAGAAGGCATTCTCATCAAGTCTGCAATTCTGACTGCTTTCAGAAGACTTCTAGAATAAGGAACATTGTAAGATGTTCTCCATAAGATATTTCATGTGACAGAATATGATAATACTTCATTGCTGCTGTCATTGAAAGTATTACACTTAGTGGGAGATATAATTCTAGGCAATGGCCAGCAAGGTATAATAATAAACATCTGGGCCTAGTAACTGGGAGACCATGAGTTCTATTCATCGCTTAAGTGAAGGGTGGGTTGCTGTTGGCATTACTGCTGGTTCGGTGCACGTCAAAGGTGCGCTCCGCGTGCGTGCACATTGGCACATAAATAGGTCTGTGCATGCGTGAAACGTTAAAAAAATGGGAAAAAATTAAATTTGTGCAATGAAAATTGTTCTGTGCATGCGCAGAACCAAAAATCAAGATGGTGATGCCATAGGAGAACCAGTTCAGAGCCATGGCAGGCCTGGGTCACAGCCGGTTCCAGCGACCCAGGATGCCAAACCACTGTCGGTCAGCCAAACCAGTCTGAACTGGTAGGAACCCACTTCTGGCTTAACTACATAGCTGTAGTCAACTGATTGACTTTGGGCCAGGTGTTCTCCCTCAGCCCTATATTGGAAAATAAACAAAACAAAACAAAAACATTAACTAACCATCCTGGACCACATAGTAGATGAGAGTTCATAAATATCAATTAATTCATCCAACAGTAGATTGATTTGAACTAATAATGTTCTGAGCAAGTAGTTGTTTTTAGAATCCCTGAGTAGCATTCAGACTATGGAAGTAATGGGACTTCAGTTAGTTATTATTAATTATATTCTTCATCAGTCCAACTCCTACTTCATACAGTGGTATATTTGGGGTGATATTAGGAGAGAAGAGATGAATAATAAAAAAAGGTTTCAAACAAGTTAATTAGATGCCAGGTTACATTAAATTGGTATTTGCATTCATGCTTCATCTCCTTCAAGATACAAAAGAAACAATCGATTGTGTTTCTTATTAACTTGAAAAGAAATAGCTGCCTAAGAAATGGTTTTTGAACTTTAGAACAATCAAAAAGACATGCTACCATTTAGCTACAGAGCTTGGATTAGAAATTATAGCTTTTGCATGGATAATTCAGGTGCTTTGGACTTCAGTTCCCAGAACAACTAGATAGTCCAAGACTATGGGAACCTTAGTCCAAAATATTTGGAACACACTGCTCATATTATAGATGTCACTGAAAAATACCCCAAACCAGAAAGCCAAAAATACTGCAATATAATGTATCATACGTTAAGTGAGCAGGGAGAAGACTGTCTTGGCCATGAGTATCTTGGAAGGGCAGCTGGGAGTAAAATCAGATGTATCTAATGTACCAAGTGAATCATGGATACCTAAAGTAAGGTTGAGTTGCTGAGCTAATAATTTGAGTTGCACAAATTATTAACATAAAAGGAAAGGAATTCAAGTCATCTATTTTCTGTTTGAGAGTGTAGGAAGTTTGCACCCACCCCTCTCCTAGAAAAATGAAATATCCTGGGAAATATTGAAAAGGCAGAATATTACATTTCCCTGGATGAGAAATGGAGAAACATGTTTTTAGGCAGAAAACAGAGTCACTCTTAATAGCCCCCATCTTTATCAACGGGCCATTAAAAAGCCTGAGCCAGTTATTCTACATAACAAAGATCTCCCCCTTCAGCTCCAGGGTGATGGGATTAAGGCATGATAGTATTAGCCCTTTACCCATCTCAACCATAGGGCACCTGGGAAGAAGCAATACTCAACCAAACTTGGACTAAAAACACAGCCTACAGAGTTGTCCCTGCATGGCCTCATGGGAGTCTGACAACCAATCAGAATACAAGCTCAGGTTCAAAGCCCAGAGAGGGCATAAAACCAGGAACTTTCAGTATCTCGCTCTCTTTTCTTCTTCACCCAACATCTGGAAGCATGTGATCAGTGATGGGTTGCAGGCAGTACGCCCCGGTATGGGCATCCCGGAACCTCCCCGGAGCACCAGGTACCGTTCCAGTACAGTACTCCAGAGGACCCGCCCACGTTCCTTATCTGTCTTCAAACTCTTTGGTGCTCCCACGCATGTGCATGACGCATACAGCGCCTGTGTGTTGCTCCACCGAGCAGCTGGAGCATCGTGGAGGCTCGCGGAGGTTTTGCTGGATGGTAAGATGCATGCATGCTGCGTGTGTGTGTGCGCATGAGCGTTGCATGCATTCATGTGGAGGACGCTGGGCCGGAACCACCACTGCATGTGATCCCCCTTTTCTGTTCAGGAGCTCAAGCCATATGACTCAGCCAATTAGTCAATCTAGTAATCTGGAATATTATATATATATATATGTGTGTGTGTGTGTGTGTGTGTGTGTGT